TGTTTTTTGTGGGTGTGTTGGGGGTGTGGTGGGGGTGCAATAATGAACTCTTGACTTTTTACCATTAATAATGAGATAGTGGATCTACCCAGATATCCTGATCTACTGAGAGACCAATGTAAATGCTTTATTCCTTTATTCATCAATTTAACATATATATACACACTCTATATCAAAAGGAGGGCAAGGTTTCTCCCACTGGTTTCCATAGATACCATCTTTTCGCTACATGTGCTGCATGCATGAACATACTGAACAAGAGAGATGGGATGAACTGACTGGTGTGAAACTGCAGGTAGAAAGCTAGATTGTCTGAACACAGCACCTCTATAAAACAGGCTAAGAGACACACTGTTTTTATAGTTATTTGTGATCAGCAAAATTCAGCATGCTTGCAGCGCATTTTTCTGTTGAAATGTTACAGCAGAATGAATATGGATGGAGCTATTGTGCTCTCAGGGAAGATGTTGTGTATGCAGAGCACATCCGAGTTCATGTCCTAGGGCTCAAGCATATATACAGTATAACAAGAAACAATGTCAAGTTAAGTGTTAGGTCTTGATCTTATTATGTATCGGATGCAGTGGTGTGTGATGAAACATGGTGAAACTGTAGGTCATAGGGAAAAAATGAGCAAAGCATAAAGGAGACTCCGTAACCCCATGTTTTCCTCAAAACACAACATGCAGGTTCATAGTCAAGACAGCTGTAAATGGTGACAGAATACAAATGACAGTAAGTACAAAGACTTAATCTGAGTTTACCTGACTTCTGCTACTGGACATGCTGTGTTCTGGACCATCACTTGATGGCAGGGATGAGGAGTAGATGGATGAGGAGTCACCCTCCTTCTTGGAATCCACAGGACTTTTTGGTCGAGCAGGCAACCCCACTACAGAAAGACAGTAAGTGCTTTAATTCTGGCATATTTCCGGTCCATGAACATGCCACTGAATACACATACACAAGGAACACTGTCCTGTAACGAAAGGGTCCACTCAGTGGTTCTCAACCACATTCCTGGAGGACCCCCATCACTGCACATTTTGCATGTCTCCTTAATCAAACACACCTGATTCAAGTCACCTGCTCATTAGTAGAGACTCACAGGCTGTGTCCGAAATCGCCCCCTATACCCTCATTCACTATTCCCTACATTAGGTCACTAATTCAGTTCACTAGAAGGAGTGAATGAAAACGAGTAGTGAATTCGGACACTGAGTGCACCGGAAGGAATGCTGCTTTTGCATAGTTTGTGCTTGCTGTTTATTAATCATTTGAAACTAGCAAACTAGCAGCTCCAGTAGTAAGATTAAAGGATTTATCTTGAACTCTGTCACGGAAATTATGTATAAACCCTAATCAAACAATTTAATAATCAATTTACAATGAATTTATACCCATGTTGTACATTATGCTGTACGCCATGGATGAGCGCTTTGTAAAAATGAATGGATTGATTATTCAGCTGCAGGCGCCATCTTCTGGCGAGATGCGGGAATTCATTCGGCGCGTGACTCTCACGGTGCATTATGGGCATTCTCTAGCCGTTGAGCGTGCACCAGTTGTACACTCGTTTTTGCAGTGCATTGTGGGATTGAATGAGTGCACTCGAGAACGTCCACTATGGTTTCGGACACCACTAAAAATGGCTGTTCCCTCAAATAGTGCCCTATTTAAGGGTATAGGGGGCGATTTCGGACACAGCCACAGACTTGAAATGGGTGTGTCAGACAAAGGAGACATGCAAAATGTGCAGTGTTGGGGGTCCTCCAGGAATGTGGTTGAGAATCACTGCACTAGATCTTTAAAGTACTTTTTGAAAAAAATTAAATATTCCATTTATTAAATTATAAGCATTAATTTGTGGTATTAAAGACATTCTAAAGGAGTGTCCATGATAAAGAAAAGGATCAATCTTTTAAATGTACTCTTTGTATTTATGTTGGTATCATATGGGTAAAAAATATAGTACTGTTTTTTTTTTGTTTGTTTTTTTAAACAAATAAATGCAGCCTTGATAAACATAAGACACTTCTTTGAAAAACATTTTAAAATCAATTTTGGATGTAACTCAAAAATATAATAGATAATACCACATGACATTTTACAACCTAAACTTTCAAAAACCTCGACACAGTCATAAGGGTCTACAGAACATAGTTTCCTGTTACATTTTCCTGCATACTCCCACTCTTTGGTCGCAACACAGAATATTTAAGGCAAATGCTTTTCAAATAATAATGCAACTATAAAAATTAAAGCAGCTTTGTTAAAATATTTTATATCACTCTGACAATTTTGACTTCATGCCCCAAATAAATTTTAATTCATAAATGAAAAACATGCTCATCATATTTATGAATTAGGGCTACATTATATTATCGAACTGCGAAACTTCAAAACTTCAGGTTTGCTGTCCTTGTTTGTAAGGCTGCACAATTTGGAATAAAAATAATGAACAAAATAAGAACTATTAGTATTGTAATATTGCACTGTAACAAAAACAAAAAAAACAAGTATTAGGAAAACAATATAATTTTACTTTACAGTACAACTGTAAAATTACAATATTCATATTTTCTTTTATATCTTTTCTTTTCAAACATTAAACCATCAAACTTTTATTTTTGCAATTGCTTCTTGATTTGATAATTGCACTAAGCCATATTGTGATTTCAGCTGATTAATCACGCACCCCTTGTACAAATATAATTTTTAAGGTATTTTTGAGCCCACTAAAGTACATCCTAGGTATTGGACCTGAGGCCCTTCCATAAAAATACACACACACAATCTAAAAAAAAAAAAGAAAAAGGGACACACCTTTGTCAAAGATTAACTGCAACTGCCGTGTTTGGCGCTTCTTGTCACAGAACTCCCTTTCAAAGTCGCCACGGCCTGAGGTGTATTGGTCCCATGCAATGTCCGGGAGCTGGACTACTCTCTGGGGCCGAGGAAGACCCATCTCCACCTGTGATGAAAGCAGATGATCAAAAACATACTTAAACCAGGATGCAGGACAAAGTAATAGGCATTTCAGACAACAGCAAATGGATGTCCCAGCGGAACCTTCTGTACCTGTTTCTGTAGCTGGTCCACAAAGGTGATGGGGTCAGACAGGGCTTCCTTCTGATGCCCTGCCAGTGTCTCCAGGTCCAGGATGGCTTGAGTTCGCTGGGCCTCCAGTACACTGATGGTCTGGAGCAACCTCTGATAACTAATGTTGAGGACAGAGGAGAGGGAAGGGCAGAGATGCTCGGTACATTATGAACAGCTGATGCTATGCATTTAACCATCAAACTTTCAGCAGTTATTAATTATTTAATTTTAGTGCAGCACAACCACACACTTTACTAAAGAAAGTCCCTGTAAATGTTCCTATAGAAATATATGGTAACACTTTATTTTAAGGTCCAATTCTCACTATTAACTAGTTACTTATTAGCATGCATATGACTAGTATATTGGCTGTTTATTAGTACTTATAGGCACATATTAATGCTTTATTCTGCATGAGCATTTTGTAGATCCCTTAAGCCGACCCAATAACTAAACTAAACAACTACTCTAATTATTATTAAGCAGCAAATTAGGAGTTTATTGAGGGAAAACTCTTTAATAGTGAATGTGTGGTCCCTATTCTAAAGTGTTACCAAATATATTCTATAAATAGAATGTTTGCAAAAGGGTGGGCGGGTGTTGACTGACAGTTTCATGCAGGAACTGGGTTTTCTGCTTGTAACCAGAGATAGTTGGACAAATTTTTTATTGTTTAACACTTTTAGGGAAAGATGTTTAAAGTTCAAATACTTATGTTCAACCTCAGGGAGGTAAAATGCTATTTTTATGATATATTGTAATTGTTGGATATAAAAATCACGGTAACACTATTTTACAGTGCCTTTGTTACACATTACATGTACTTACTACAGTAATAACAGAAAATTTAGCATAATTACATGCAATAACCCTAAACCAAACCCTAATCTTGACTCTAACCCTACAGTAAGTACATGTTGTTAATTAATATTATTCAGTACTTAATTGTATAATTACACTGTAACAAGTGCACTGTAAAATAAAGAGTAACCAAAATCACTATTTAGGTTCATGTTATGTAACAATAACAGTTCTCACGAGAGAGAGAGAGAGAGAGAAACAGGATTTTATGCCACAAATAATTTTATGGGATTCAGAAGCTCACATTTGAAAAAGCTTTTCTAGATTCATTTTGTTTGAAACGAAGATATGACGTTGGCTGTGCGCTACAGAGCTTTGACCTTTTCCCTGCACACCCTCAGGAAAATAGGATCCACAAATAGGAACACGAAAAAAAAAGGCAAAGAGAGGGGGGAAAAAGGCGAATTAGACAAAGATGCTCTTCTAAGCGGGAGATTCGGCCTACTGCTTAGAAGTAATCTTATTCAGAAGCTCAACAGACCTTGTATAATCAGTTTAGCCTAACATGGCATGAATGAAAACCAATTGATGACAGCAAGAATCCAATCTCAACAATAATTAATTTAGAGGACTTGCTCCATTTGATTTGTCTTACTTGAGGGCAACTGACTAGTTTTTCTTCCATTTCCTTGCCATTTAATAACTTAGACCGCAGAGGAGCTGTTAACAGCCTCTCGATTTAGACGCACAATGAAGATAGGCATGTAGCACTGCAGGCTGGGGAAAGCAGCCAATGATGGCAATGAGCCCAAAACTGACATATGGCTGGCAATGCACTGCCACCTATGGGTCAACCATCTGAAAAGCAGACTAGAGCACAGACTAGATAACAGACAAAAACTAAACAAACATATAAAAATATGGGCTTTGGGCCATTTTAACCTTAACTGCACCATTTAACCTGTACTAAATACCACACACTGGGATGCCATACTACTACTGCTCATAATAAACCTCCATACATCTTTTCAGGTTAGTAGCCAATGTGAGCACGTTTACTGTGTGATGCCTTCCTTGTTAGTCAAGTGTATGGAAGGCAGTCGGCGTCAAAAGTCTTTAAATAGAACGTGTGAAATTTAATCACGAATCTGAATGTCTCTCTCAATGTGCACACATTCTGGCCGTGTTCGAATGCGTAATACTAATTAAAAAGCATTTTCAGTTTCGGTTTTCGGCCAAGTGCATCCAGAATTTTCGGTTTCCGTTTCGGCCCAGAATTTTCATTTAGGTGCATCCTTAATATTAACTCTTTCTTTTGTTCACTGTGGAACTGCTTTACTGATATATACTGCACAGTAAATTAATTAATGTTACCATGTAAATTAAGACTTTTCTAAAGAACATTGAACTAAAATAAAAAGGACATGACAAATCATGACATAAGGCTGACAGAAAAAAAAAAACGTACCGATGCATTATCCCTCATGAACAAATATAACGGGTGATGTTTGCATACGTGCATACCAGTGTACCACCACGGCATACTTCATGAATAAACATGACGTCTGATGTTTGTATGCAAATATAGTCTCAAATACAGCAATTTCATTGACTGCTGTGCATGCTGTAGCATTACCGCGGACAAAGTGCATGTTGATGCGGTCAAACTTCATGCGTTCCATTTAAAGATGTTTGGTCCTGTCTGCCTTCCATATTAGTGTCGTTTTTTAAGGCAATCATCACTATATGTCATACTTAATATATCATATCAACAAACCATTAACCCCAAACCTCCACATCAATGGAGACCTCAAATCTGAGACTTGTTGTAGAATACTAATCTAAATGATCTGAGGATCATTCGGAAGATTAAGATCACTACATAACGACCATCAAGAATGTGCTAGCAAAGTCTTATGAACCAACCAGCAAAGCTTTCAAAAAGACTCGCAACACTAGCAACACCCTAGTGACTACAATCCCCTAGCACTGTGGTGACCGGTTTTGCACAGAAAAGCACCCCTTTGTTTGCTTCTTCAAAGAAAGTAATCTGCATTAAACTATCTATAATTTAAATCAATGTCAAGCACACAATAATCCAAATTAAAATGCAGGAGAAATACTGTCCCAGATTAGAAATCAGAACGATTATAACAACAAAAGATAAATAATTCAGACAGGCCTCATAAACTGACGTGACTGCAATCTCTTTTCATTTCTATTGACCAACAAGCCAATCCAGTTGGCTGCTCCTGATCCCTGCACTCACACTGTGAGATGGGCACACGCCTGAATGAGCACAACCCAGGACAACCTGTCCACCAGCAGCAGGCCTTCCCTCGCTTATTACCTACCACCGTCCTGGAGACTACAGCAGCTGTTGCTCATTTTCTGCAAGCGCAGTTGACTATTACACTGCAGAAAACAAGCATGCAGAGTTAAGCAGGAAAACACTAAGATGTTTATCTAGGCCAACCTCTTCAAATTACAAAGCACAAACACTATGAAAGCTAAAAAGACAAAACAAGACTATAAACGAGAGCAGGGCAGACAAATCAAAACCTGAAATGCTGGGGTTTGACAACCAAATAAGTTAAAGCAATGCAGTTTCCTACTACTTTTAAAGTAAACCTCTATAATATAATAATAAGAAAATTGATTTATGAAGCTAGATAAATCCCTCTATATGGAAACTGAAATAGTAAGACCTGAAAAGTACTAGTGGTACTTGCCCCTGCCAAGAATAAGTTATGCGGTTGCTACTAGCACAGGGCTATTCAATTATCTTCATTTGAGGGCCAGATTATCGAATTGAAAAATTTGAAGGGGGTGGGGGCTGTCCCGATCTCTTTCTAGGGGGCCTATAAAATTAGAAATTAAATTGAAATGCATATTCAGCCGTAAATGAACTACCAAATGAATATTATCAACACCAACATCTATAAAAGGTAAACATTAAAGCCGTCTGTCAACTAGGACTGGGCGATTTTTCAGATTTTATCGATTAATTCGAATGTAATGTTTTGTCACAATTTTTATTTTCAATTCCTTTTAATAGAGGAATCACTATTTTGAACAAAAAACAAACAAACATTACAATTAGACACTATGACAATGTTAACAGTAAAGAGAAAAGAATGATCCAACCGCATGTTGGCGCACGTGATTAGCCGCTCACATGTCACGCGCTCTGTGAAGGACCACAAGTAGAATATATCATTAGGTGCCATTCACACAGAATGTGCTTTTGTGTTGACAAGGATGCGACACGGGCAGTGGAATCGGAAAAAATGGCGGTTGAACTTCTTTTAACTTGAGCATCGTCATTTCATGCATGAGATGCTGCAAGAGACGCGAGCGCAACAGTCAAACGCGTCCATGTTCACATAGAAAACAATGGAAAAGCAGTGCAATCGAATGAAAACCTGTAAAGAACTACTACTGTATTATGTATATTTCATGTTTGCATCATGGTGACATCTGGCTGAAATCTGCTGTTCATTGTTTTTACGGAACATTTATAGTTAATAATAGTCTACTGGTTTTATACCTTCAGTCATTTTGAATCTGAATTACCTTGACTTTTGACTATTTTTTTAAAGCACTTTCCTTGTATTATTTCTGAACATACAATATGTACAAGACAAGTTTGTACAAGATGTAACTGTAGTTCATGCATCTTTTTTGCAAAGTTATTCAGGCCTAACAAGTGATTTGTTTAACATTTACATTGTTAACTTCATGTGTTGTGCACTTGGAATAGAATTTTTTTTTTTAAGTAGTGGGTTAATAAAGAAAAAGCTACTTGAATCATGTTGTAGTTACATTTTCAAGTTGACTTGTTACAAATCGAGAATCGGTCAAACGTTCTGAAAAAAATTGAGATTTAATTTTTTTGCCATATCGCCCAGCTCTACTGTCAACCAATTAAAAAAATTAACTAATCACATTTTTCGCATATTAATATATTTATATTGTCATAATTGTTATAATTTAACACTGAAACTCCAAATTAATGTACAAAGAACAAAGATGGTATATTTTAAATGTATTTAATGGCATCTTTTTACTAAGTAGCCTATTATTAATGAAAGCCAGTATCATTGATACCAATACTGCTACTGATGTCTCTTATTAAATGCATTTTCTCCCCAAATTTAGCTATTAATTATAGCCATTTAACATTACAGTATAATTGAAAGCCATTATTCTTCACATTTAAAGGGGTCATATGATGCGATTTCAAGTTTTCCTTTCTCTTTGGAGTGTTACAAGCTGTTCGTGAATAGATAAGATCCCCCGTCACGATGTGGGAAGATTTGCATAACGCCACCAAAATGTTCACGCAAAAAAAGAAGGCGTAACTTTATTGTTGCTGTTGCTGCCGCCGCCATGTTGTGAAGACGCTGTGTTTCGTTGCGAAAGCGAAAATACTTTGTCCTTACAAAAGAGGACACGACTAGAAATCAGTGGTTAAGTTGTATTTACAACACTGTTCCAGAACAGTTCAACCCAAATATTCAGATGTGTGCAGCACATTTTATGGAGGACTGTTTCCTGATCCTGGAAGAGTAGACTACAATGCCGGCTGTTCTGACTCACAGACTGTAAGTACGTTTTCATATTTAAAGAATTTGCCACTGATGATTCAAACGTGAGTTTTGAGCAGTGTAGAGTAGCACTTGTTGTTTGTTGCTTCTCCGATCACAAATGCAGACATGGTTTTATGTTTACGCGGCGCGATGCAACGCAACGCGTAAAAAGACAGTATAAGTCATTATAATCAGTAATAATGTCCCCACTGGATGCAACAAATGCCTCATTTATAATGGGTTTTAATGTTTTTGTCTAATCGCTCCGGCCGGACATAGTTATTTTATCTCTGTTTGTTGCCAAGGCAACACATCTCATTTTCATTTTTCATCTAATATTGATATTTTTATTTATTTCAGCTCAGAAAAACTTCTTTTTTTTATCAATTTTTAATAGTTTTAGTTTAGTTTCTAAATAGTTAGCACTATTCAGAAATATTTGACTGCTGAATATTGTGATTGACCAATCAGAATCAAGTGTTCTATTTAATAAGCTCTCATAGTATATACAGGGAGGAAGATGCGTGGACGTAATCCAGCTTGAGCCCAAAGGTGTTTCATTGAATTGGTTGTGCTGCTTGCTGAAGTCTCTTGAGGACGCTCTCTTAGATCTCCATAAATTGTGCAATTAAGCAGTCCGACAGTGCAATCAGATCCTTCTTTCACAGCAGGACCCATGAGGGCCAAGGCTGTTTATTGGCTGAGGGAGAAGACAGAGGATTATTCTAGCCACGCGGCAGACATGCTCAGACTGTCTATTCATATCATCCATCTCTCTGTGAGTCTGTATCGACGGCTCAGATTAAATGTTGGATGCAGATGTCAGTGATGAAGGACAGGTGAAGCTATGAACGGCCCTGACCAAACGATGCCACTGTGAGCAGAGAAGGGCAGATCATTGACGCCCCCTGTCTGTGTCAGCTGGTACTGCACACACTCATGCACTAGTTCAGTGGGGTTTTTTTAACTCCTATTTTCACTGACTGTGGTGTAAAATATGTGGAATTAATTTAAAAAGGGGGATGTGTGTTAAAATCAACATGAAATAATAAAGCACTGGTCTTATTTAGCATTATTCATCAGTGCACGTTATACAAAGAACAGTATTCTTTGTATTCTGCTAAATAAGCAGAGGTGGTGAATACTGGGAACTAAAAAACCAATACCATTTTTAAAAAATAAAGTTCTCATATGTTGGAAAGAATAAAATACACTGCTGTTCAAAAGCTTGGTGTCTGTAATGTTTTTTTTTTTTTAATTAATACTTTTATTCAGCTAGGATGCATTAAATTGATCAAAAGACAATATTACAAAAGTTTTTTTACAATGTTTTTTTTTTATTCATCAAAGAATCCTGAAATTTTTTTCCCATCAAATATTAATATTAACTATTTTCAGTATTGACAATGATTAAAAAAAAAACATTTTTTTTTTATATAAAACTATTATTAAAGTTAAATGTGCACTCTGTAATTTTTTATTTAAATTGTGCTGCATATCATTCTGGGCTTACTATATAAGCAAAAGCTTTTCTTAATGTATGGCATTTGTAAAAATGCACTATTGGCAGGCAGTCATGATAAATTAATTCAATTCAATTCAATGAATTCAGTTAATACTGAAGTCAGTATTATTGGGCTGGTCATATGATCTTAGCATCCATGTATAATAAAACAGCTTTTGTTAGGCTACTATTAAAAGTGTAAACTTTAATAAGTTTAAACTTATTGTTTCTAAAGTACAATTAATTTATTTGCATATAAAACTTTTTAATGATAAAAGTGACCCTGCGTGCACCTTAGTAGCTTTATTAATGCAACTGTTCTAGTAAACCATGCCTCATGCTTCTAAAATCCTCTCTTAAGGCTATCAAGCTGCCAACTGGCTGACAAGGGCATGCGTGGTATGATGACATCTAACTCCCAGGATCTGAAGTAAGCCCTCGCGCTCTCGTGTTTACTCGGCAGGCACCTCAGTTGACCCTCAAAATGAGATCTGTCTGAGGTTACGCTAATCTGTTTCATGTTTTCATTGCTTGCAGGTGTCCCACTCCTGGCTGTGATGGCTCTGGGCATATCACAGGCAACTACGCCTCACACAGAAGGTGAAGACTCACAAATATGCGCATTAAAAATTTGATTTAATACTTCACGTAATGTTTTGGCCACCCGTAGATTCAAAGAAGTGCAATGAGAAGCCCTTGGCATTTTTTGGTAAATGTGTTTCTTGCTCTGAAGTCTGTCAGGTTGTCCCCGGGCAAAGAAGAGTGGTATTAAAATAATGCACAGTAAGGAGGACAAGGATGACCAGGAGCCAATCAGGTGCATTTTTTAAATTCCTTCAACTATCCAAAGTAACTGAAAGTTGAATTTTGCTTGTTGTAACTTACAGGAGGACTAAGGTTAAAACCGTCCAGTTACTGAGGACAATTGAAAGTGAAAGTGAAATTGAAGTGACATGTGGCCAAGTATGGTGACCCATACTCGGAATTAGTGCTCTGCATTTATCCCATCCAAAGTGCACACACACAGCAGTGAACACACACCGTGAACACACACCCGGAGCAGTGGGCAGCCATTTTTTGCTGTGGCGCCCGGGGAGCAGTTGGGGGTTCGGTGCCTTGCTCAAGGGCACCTCAGTCGTGGTATTGAAGGTGGGAGAGAGCGCTGTACATTCACTCC